TTTGCTCAAGCGAAGTCGAAAGATCGACTGGTTCAAGGTCTGCCAACAACAGTTTCAATGTATTTATTTTGGTATAGCCCTGTGAGCCATTCGGCTCTTGAATCGGGTGCAACCGCAACAAACAAAAACTAAAAACATGAACAAGAAAAACATCTTAAAGTGACCATGTGACTGTGCAAACGGAAAATCCATGACAAAAAAAAAACAGCAAAATATTTTCCTGAAAAAGCTTTGCATCCACCCCGTTTGTTCCCGAGTCCCTAAATCGGGAAATCAACGTCCGAATACGGTGCGGATTTGAGACCCCTTCGGGTCTGAAAATATCCGCGATGTTCTCTCGGTGTTTCATGTTTTTGTTTACAATTGTTTCCGAGATAAATGTCAACTATTCTCGCGCGCTGCTGAGGTGTATACCGGGTTCATTATAAACTCCCAGGCATCTACTTTATTGTTTAAAAAAAACATTATTTTAAACAAAATCATTTAACACAAAATACCGGCTATTTCAAATCAGGTCGTTACTTACGGCCCGCCCTGTATATGCAACACCAAATGGTTTAAACGTGCAGAATACACATCAAGACTTAAGGATTACCCCCTGTTGCAGAAATTATTCTGGCAAGCCACCATCCATTATCACCCAAGTGTCCTCAATGATTATGTGCCCTCTATTCGTACCATCATAGGACCGTGTGGTATAATAATGTAGTACGATGGGGTCGGCGCAATCCTTGCACTCTCGTTGTCGTTCCTTACGCCGATAGTCCGGTACTCCAGAAGCTAGCCTGACAGGCTTCCGGAACATATTGTCAGAAATTAAGCCACCTCCCCGCCCGTGTGCGCATCCGTTGTTGTTGTTGTCGTTGTTGTTGACTCGCGGTGATGGCGACGTTGAGCGCATCACGGCCCTGGGCAAAGGATTCTCTCGCGTCTCAGCATGTTTACCTGTGAAGTGTCATCTCACTCGGCCCTGTTCACTGCGGCCTCCTCACAGGCAGCTCTTTCCCGATGCTTTCAGGTCGTGTGTTTTTGTTTTGTCTTACGAGAGAGAGAGAAAAACAATTGGGAATCTAATAACTCACGCAAGTTATTATTATTATTACGGTTTCATTTACAATTGGGGAGCGGCGGCGGGGGAGTGATTCATGAAGTGGTTGACATTAGCGGTTAGCCAATTGGTGCTAAGCAAATCACTCGGTTAAGCCCCCTATCTTCTGCAGAAGTGGAATCGCCCGTGCATGCATGAGCGTTAAATGGTTCTGTGCCTCCGTTTCTTTTGGGTTGTGCAGTCAGGTGCTCACGGACTGGAACACTTTGGGTTTGACATGTATGATGAAATATACACGTGATGTACGTTCAACTTCTTTCGCACCGTAAGTAGTCAACCGTGACTAAAGATACTTGAGCAAGCACGGCCACAGAACACGAGTGCACAAAGTCGCGTCATTTACTCGGAAAAATAATATTTATTTTATAGAATGCTACATCTTTACACATACAGCTTTACTGTACCTTACACATTGGGGCCAGGGGGAGTCAAAAGGTGAAATGAACAATATTAATAAATGTACATGATCCAAATATACCTAAATAAAAAGTACAACTTTAGGGTCTGAAACCTAACAAAAATGTGGTCTCAAACCCAGTCTGAGGATCTGCCCCCCACCCCCGAACAAGCGAGAGGCGCCGTTTCATCAAACGCAGAGGGGACTTCAAGAGAGGGCTTTAAATGCCCAACGTTACGCACTTGGGTCACCCGTGTACAGAATGTCAACGAATACACAGCGAACCTTTGAACAAGACATCCTGCTTTGCGCCGCCAATGTAACGTTTTACACGAGCCCTCGATTTTGTTAACAATTCCAACTGCACTGCAGCGCATTTTATTTTCTTGTTAAGTGGACGACATTTTTTCGTACGTACAATAAATGTCAATGTCTTGCCGTTGTTTATTTTTTTTAAAAAAGGGTCTTAATGACCGTTCTGTTTTGGTCAATGTCAAGGTATTGTCATCAGGTCTACTGTTTAAATTCACGCCATTAAGTATAAGACCCCTTCATCAATGTCACGATGAGCAAGGTGGCCACGTGGACTGCACACACACCCCCTCCTCTCCCACCGTTTGTTCAGCATGCTAGTAGCATCATCTGAAACGTGGCGCACTCACCGAATTCCAATTATGAAATGCATTCACGAGACCGCGAGCTTCGACTGCCCGTTGCGTCACGCTGAATGTCAACATCAGGCGAAGCAATGGATTAGAAGCAACTTTACTTCCCATTGTTAACGGGAAAAAAATGCAAGGGAAATTTTTAGCACCCATATCACCATGGACGCAATTTAACGGGGCCTAATTTTTCCGATGATGATGGTGATGATGACGATGCATTATTCATTTACCCGACTAACCAATTTCAAACAGATGTGCTGTGGCTGCTAATGAAACATTGGGGAAATTCACTCCGGGGTGTAATTGTGAGAGAAAGACAAATATCCAGAATCCGCATCGAGTACGAGCGGTACCGGCTTCACGAAATAAGTCCATTCGTAGCAACGCAGTTTTAAAACCTAGCTTTGCCAATCGCTACCGGTGGAGCCTTATATGCGTGTTAAATTAGTTTAAAACCGTTTCATAATTCAATGAATCATGATAGCATGAGCAAGAAATACTGCATTTACATTACTGGTGAGAGAGAGGTGGGGGGGGAGTTGCACTTTTCATAGTGATACAAAAAAATCCTTTACACAATGCATCGATTCCACATAGCGTGTTAAATTACAAGTCATCTATACACACATGTACAATAAGGGGCGGCAGAGGGCAATTTGCGTTTTTTTTTCTGTCGTCTTAAGTAGTGGCTGAAAAATCCTAGCAAAATAATACATACATGGAAACACTGCCATGTTGCAAACAACACGCTTCCAAAAAGTAGCTATAGCTGCCTCAACACATTCTGTACAATGCGTGTGAAATGGCGGCGCTGTACATTGGATATACACAACAAAAATAACTTAGCTCACACGACAGTATTCCTGGCTGCTGCTTCAGCGTCTTTTTAGTTTGCAGAAAGTACGTGGCCGTTTAAAATGATGTACACACACACACGTACGCACGTACGCACACACACACACACACAAGCATAGACTTTGTACAAACAAGAGCTTAAAGTCATTGCGAATTCGCTTTTCGGTGCTAACATGGTCAGCGTTCAATATTTTCAGACAAACCCTGGCACTGTGACAAGTGAAACACAGGGCTTTAGTATGGCCATTACCGTCTGTCGAACCCCACTCGTGTGCAGTGAACGGACCGATTTTTTTCCAAATGGATTACACGGTTGTGTCAGAAAGTTGTTCAATTGCTTCCTGTAACTAATTTTCACTGGGTGTGTATTGTGGCTGTGTGGTAAGTCAGCAAATTCTGGGTTTATCAATTTATCAATTTTCCCCGATCCATTTTTTTGGAAAGTATGCGAGACCGCATCTCTCCCCACTTCATGCTTCAGCGTATTCCACGCTGTCCCTCCCCCTGAGCAACCTGTTAGCGCATCACGCATTTTCATTCAAACTTTTTATATATATTAAAAAAAAAGATTATTAATGAAACAAATGCATTCCCGTTGACTATAAAAGCCGGGCATATTGGAATTTGATTTGAGCATAGCGTTGAAAGGTGTACCGGCATGAATTTGATGGAATAAAATGGTAAGCAACGGCAGGCTGGAGTGCTTTGTGTAAACCGACGATGAGTAGCAACATTCCGATTCATCTTCAGAGGAAAGTTTTCAATATATGCATATTTCCTGCTATGACATGGATCAACTTGGGACACTGACAAAATGTAACAAAAAGGAAGAAGGTACAGAAAATATGGGAGGCAATGATACGAGCTAATGCTCAGGAGTGAGACAGACCAATGGCATCGCAAGATCATGAAGAACGGCAACCGCGTGGGGTAACCTTCATTCAGCAGTGGAATGATCATGGCTGTTGGGCGGTGACAGTTGTGCCATTACAGGAATTTGTGTGGCGGGCCACTTACGATGGGCTTGTGGGTACGCATTGCATCGCAAACGCGGAAACAGGCCAACTTGAAAAAAATAAAAGACGCAGGGGCGGGCGCGTGAACTCAAAAAAAGGCCTCGGTTCACCAAGGCGATGGACTCATCGAGGTACTCGCCGGGACCACACAGTGCATGTGTCAGTGGGGTCGGCCATTTGCGGACACACACACACACACAAACAGCCGTTATGGACCCAGCGAGAACAAGCAAGACAGACGATGCAGGCAGACGGGAGAGGTGGGTGGGGGGCGGGTCGTGGTGCTTTCACTGCTCTCTTTGAAATCAATCTTGTGGGCTCGAGACGCATGCAGCCTTCCGAGGCCACCGCTGCTGCCTTGCGCGGCTACGGGCACGACACCGCAAAGGTTTTAAATTCCGCTCAGAACGATGCAGTTCCTTACGCGGCCCTCTCGGTGGCCAATCGGCTGCAACGTGAACCAGCTTCAGAGTTGAATATCCCCGCCCCCGCCCCCCCCCACCCCGCTCCCCCGGGGCCCCGCCCAATTAATTAATTTAACCCTTCACGCACACGTATTTACCAATTGTGCGGCGAATCTCAAATTTGTTTCCGTTTAAAGAGCTTGCTTTACAGATGGCCAGAGGAAGGAGTCCTTCGAGACACGGCTGCCACACACAAAAAAAAACGTAAATTATTTCACGTGCAACTGAATGACCAGAGATTACCCCGGTTTAATAGCCAGTCCACAGCAATGCCTAAAGCAGGCAAAGCCGCACACAAATCCAGTGTAATTAAAACATAATCGGCATTTGACGGCTTAAAAATTCGAAGACTAAATGTACAGAGGGCCGGATAAAGTATATATTTTTTTTACTCTAGGAACACCACACTGACTTTCACATCTATAAAAACAACGAATCTGGCAGTCACACACACATGAAAGAAAACGAATAAAAAATATATAACAATAAACATCAAGCCTGTACAGGTTTAGTTGAATCAAACCCTGTTAGTCAGTGTTCGGTTTAACCCATATTATCATCCGATAAAAGCTTACACAGCTTCTGTAAACAGTTTCTCATTTCACATGCTTAAAAAAACATCGTGTTTAAACATTTTCTCCCACACGCGCCACACACGCACGCACGCACAATGTCTCATACAGTTTTGATCCATTTTTGCATAAGTCTCAAACTTGACGCACCGATGCAACGGCAGATACTGAAAAGGAAGCCTTAAAACAAGCACCGTATTGCCTCTCTTCTTGAGAATGTCATTAAATTAAGCTCAACCTTTGTTTTTCCTCCATGGCCCGTGGCCAATGTGCCCCCCTTTGCAGTGTGGCGGACATTAGTTTCAAAAAACATGTTCATCTTCCTCGTTCATCCCAGTCGTATTTAGCAGCAGAGGGAGCATTTTATTTTTACATCTTCTTCTTTCTCCACCACCCCCCCCCCCCCAGTCACAGATGTTCCGTTCCGCAAACGTCTTTCCCGAAAACAAAAATGTGCCACCGTCTTCCAACGTTCCGGCGCCTCTCGCTTTCGTCTTGAGCAGCAAAAACAGCGGCAACTTGAGACGGAACCTCAACGACAGAGCTCTCCTCGCCTACTACGGCGTCGCTGCCGCCGCCGCCGCCGCCGCCGCCGCCCGCCCATCAACGCGACCGCAGGCGGAGAAATCCGCCGGTCATCTCTCAGGGAGGGCGTGGGGGGGGTGCACGGGCGCGGACGACGGGCTCCGGGGTGGGGTGGGGGGCAAACTGAATCGCGCCCACGTTCGTTCCTCTCGGCCAAACGGACGCTGGTGTGGGATGGATGGACCGCGGTCATGGACCTGCCACTCCCCCCCCCCCACACCACCCCCTCCACCACCCATCCCGCGGGGGGCTCCTTGCCGCTGGGGGCGCTTTTTTTTTTTTTTTTCCCCCCATTAGTCGACCTTCTCCACCTTGCCGATGATCTTCTCCTCGAAGACGGGAAGAACGGCGCTGTCCTCCCGCACCTCCTCGAAGACGACTCCGCACTCGAACTCGTCGCTTGCTTTTTTGAAATAATACCTGCCGGACACAGAGAGGAAGAGGTCCAGCTTAAGAAGGTGAACTTCTCTTAGAGGCTCGCTCGGCCGCAGCAGCTGCTTCTGCAGCGGCATTAAGAGGTCGGCAGCCATTGACGGCGGACAGCAAGAACAAGCACCGAGCGGCAGACCGAAGTTTCAGCAGTGGATACAGAAGTAGCAATTCATCCACGTGGCCCTGAGAGCCAGTGGTGCCAATTCCACAATCCCATCTCCAAAGGATGCCAACTTCCCAACCCTGCTGACCTCCAACAAAGTGGAACTCGTTTTTTTATCTACCTCCAGAGGGGATGGACAGGCGACGGAAATAACCTGGGAACAAGTTTCAAGCATTCTATCGCAGAGCATACTCAGCCGGACGTAGGATGGACACGATCTGTTTCTTAAAGTTTGTGAGGTGAAGGACGGTGTGCAGATTTCCACTCGCAGAATTTGGCAAAATATTGAACGAGAATGAGTGTTGATTTTTTTTAACGGAACAATTACATTGTTTTGGTGTACTTGAGACCTTCAAATAATACATATTTTTTTTGCATGAGAAGGCGTGGAGTTCACCAACTCTGAAGGATTATTATAACAGAGCCCACTGTGCTACCTAGCACCACATTTGTAAATCAATGAGAGTACCCTCAACTTTATTTCCATTGTAGCTCAATTTTACCATTCCAGAATGAGCTTATCAGCAGCTTATCATAATTTAAAGTAATCACATATGCACCTATTAAACGCAAACTCAACAAATGCCACTCACGATGACTCGAATGGAAATGTTCAAAGGGGACAGACATCAAACGGTAGAGCCCAGTCACACATTTCTTGTCAATTTGCCTCCTTCAGTGCCCAGTGCACCTTCGGTTACAAACCTGTCCCTGCGCGCCAAGTTTAATGTCCGCTATGCAAACCGGCTAAAACAGAAATAACTGTAGAGTTCTAGATTTGAAGCTTTCGTGACTGCAAGGATCCATACTCTTTGGTTCTATTCGGTAAAGTCACCACGTAGGTAAAAAAATAAAACAACAAAAATGACGACGTTTCGGCCACAACACAAGCGGCCTTCATCAGGTGAAGGGACCAGACTGTCTCACTCTAGCGCTGTCCTCGAGACAGTCTGGTCCCTTCACCTGATGAAGGCCGCTTGTGTTGTGGCCGAAACGTCGTGATTTTTGTTGTTTTATTTTTTCCCAACGTGACTTTACCGAATAGAACCAAAGGTAAGCAACGCTGTACATTCCACCGTTGTGCAACCTGCTTAATCCACACGCCCTTCATCCCTGTGAGATCCTGCGAGTGAAATGAGCAAATATGGCACACTCAACTTCACAGGTTCTCTATTTGAAAGCGAAAGGCATGCTCGTCCAACGGGAGGGGAGAGGATAAACGAGTTCATAAGAAGCCGATGTGTAAATGCGCTCGTTTGTACATACGATGAACTTCTTTCGAAACCGTACGCGGCTAACCGTACGCGGCTGACCGTACCAATCGGAGGTGTGGGGGAAGGACAAACACAAAAAGCAGTTCCAAGGAAATGAGTTTTCGACCTTGATTGAAAAAGGCACAAGCTCCAGTGGCTTCCGAATATCGGAAGAGAGAGATCACTTTTCATCAATGCCCCTCTCCTATACATTTCACTGTCTGTGGTTCTCTTTTTCCGCCGAGTGCCAAATCCTCCCAAGGTTCCCGGCCGCGTCTGCTTCTCGAGGAGGCGGGATACATTTTTTTTTTTAAAGAGAGAGAGAAAACAAAACAACTCCGGCGACAACAAGTGGGGCCCTGTCCGCGTGGACAAACGCATCTTGGGGGAGAATTAACGGCGATCAAAAGCGGCAAACCTCATGAATAATGAACCGGGCTCGCTCGGTGTCAATGGACGGCAAACAATCGAGCGGTACACACACACACACTGTGACACTTCAGCGGGAGGTTAGCGGAGGCTGCGGCATGCAGACGCAGGCTGTCGCAGCTTTGGGCCGGGGCTCAACACCTGCCGACGGTTCTCAATCCCCCCCCCTCTCCGCCTCCTTTTGTGCAACGCGTCGTACATTTAACGGCACAGCGAGTGCCGACTAACCCCCTTTTCCACGGCCAAATCGCGGGACCCGCCCAGCACTGGCTGTAAATTCTCGGCGCGTCTCGCCCACTCGCCCGCCCAAAACTCTCTCCCCTGCCCTTCGGCATGACGGGGTAGGTGGGTGGGTGGGGGCGGCGGCGGCGGCGGTGAGGAAAGGAGGGAGTGGGGATAGTGGGTGGGGGAGATGCCAGGAAATGAAAGAAATGCTTTTGATGGTGCGCGCCCGTGGCGGAGGATCTGTAATTTTCTGGCGACGGAGCTAGGGCTCGGCTGCGCGAGCGACCAAATGCGCAGGAAAAACAAAAAAACACAAATTGACCGCTGCTGGGTGGGCGATGCGTCACGTGCACCTGCCGCGTGGCGGTGGAAGCGACGTAGGGTGCTGCGATTTCTGCGAGCGCGAGCGTTCCCAGAGGTTGGCGCACCGCACTCCCCGGAAGCTTTCCGCGACCTTGGCCCGGTCCGATTTCCGTCTGCGTGGCGAGTGGTATGTGAAGGTTATCCAAGGCTTCGCCCCTCTAAGGCTTGTGCAGCCTTACCTAAGTACGTGGAGCGGCGTGCCAACACCGGCGGTGGAAAGGCAAGACGCGGCGGCGCTGGCCTCACCAACCCCTTCGCGTGCGTCAAACTGGCCTCAGCAGGAGGTGCTTTAAATGTTGATTTAAAGCTTTCGTGACTGCAGTCATTCATATTCTTAGCTTTTTCGGTAAAGTCACGTCGAAGGGAAACAACAAAATAATAAAATATATATAAAACAATAAAAAAATTCTCACGACGTTTCGACCATAACTCAAACGGTCGTCTTCAGGTGTGTTGGTTTGCATAAATATTTATATATTTTTTCAGAAATATTTATGCAAACCAACACACCTGAAGACGACCGTTTGAGTCATGGTCGAAACGTCGTGAGAAATTTTTTATTGTTTTATATATATTTTATTATTTTGTTGTTTCCCTTCGACGTGACTTTACCGAAAAAGCTAAGAATATAGGAGGTGCTTTGCTTGCTAAGGGACACTTTCTCTTGCTACCTCTACCAAGGAATATTTGCCAAATTATGCTCTGTGATTGAGGGAGCGAGACAAATTGTGCACATCGATCCGAGGATCTGATCCATGTTTTTTGTTTTGGAATTTTTTTACCAAGGACAGCTTTGCATGCAACCCACCTCTTTCGTACAGGTGATGTCTCGCCGGTGCCAAAAAAGTTGTGCACTACTTGAGCAAATTGGCACAAGACGGAAGAAAGTGTAAGCAAAATGACGAAATGTGCCAGTGGACACCTACGGGCTATCTGCCCATGGATCGTGATGATGATGATGATGATCACAAATGTCGGAAGCACTAAGTCAACAGTCCTCATCTAACGATCAAAATGTCTTAAACATAAGTTTTGGTCAGAAGCAGACTCGGCCCATCGTGCCTCCCGCTGATTCCGTTGATACGAGTACCACTTTGTGGATCGTCCTATGGGCGGGCATGCCTGGCTCTCATCATGGGTAACGGGGAATTTCCACCACTGGCTCAGGACTGCCAAATGAGATAGGCGCTGCCCCATCGCTCACTTGGACGCGGAGATACTTCTGACTCGAGCGCAGCATTCCCTCGCTACTCACGAACTTGCTATCCTCAATTCTGGCTCAACGCGAATCACGTTTGGAACTCGACACGGCCGCACCGAGAGAGCGATGAGATAAAATGACGAGAGACATTGTGATGCGAGAGAGGAATTAAGTGCAGCGATGAGCTAAAGTCATGATGCACAGCATCATCATAATATTTGATAAGTTCATTTTCAAACTATTTGTTAATACTTTCCGATTTTTATTCACTTAATATTTATTATAACCTATTTTTTTTTTGTGTTATGATCATTGCCACGTATTAAATAGCTGATTTATGTATTTATGCATGTCAATTCGTCGGGGCCAATATCGTAGCTATTCACGAGCATCTCCGGAACGTATCCCTTGCGAATAACAAGGGAATACCGTAATGTTACCGTTCTATTTGCTGGACGTTGCGGTGTCCCTCTCAGTCATAAAATTCCACCTAATGCGCTCCGGCTGCTACCGAGTCGCGAGTGTGCTTCCGCCGCGTGTGTGCTGCCCTAAAATAAATAAACAAACCACGAAAAGGCAATGGTAGGAAGAAAAAAAAGTTCACTTGCAAAGGTCACCGTGTAGTCAAGATGAAAAGACAGGTGTGTAAGAATAGGAAGTGAGGCAAAGAATAGACGTTGGCGGATGTATTTCCAGGTGCTGGACAAAGATCAAACGTCGAGCTGCCCGGATTCCAAACATTTCTGGGTGTACGAGTTGTATGTGTGTGTGTGTACGTGTGTGTGTGTGTACGTGTGTGCACGCGTGTGTCAACGAGCGCATTTAGGTGTGTACGTGCCTGGCAAATTCTAGTTATGCATCTACAAAACAATTGTTTAAAAATGCACAATCGACTAGGGGTAGTGGGGGGGGGGGAGCTGGTAAGGAGTAGGGGCTTGGAGGATAAAAGAAGACCGAGCTTAAAGAGAGGGAGAGAGAGAGAGAGAAAAAATTGAAAGAGGGGGAAAAAAAAAATCTGTAAAATGCCGGATTATCTGCTGGTATAGCAAACCCGTTTACACGGGGACGTGCACAATGAGGCCTCTTGTTGTGAGAGCGCCAAGGTCACAAGCACAAATCAAAGAGCGTAGACACAACAGTGCGAGTTATGAATCTTTTAAAACAAGAGATAAAGGAGCACAAGGCAGCGTACACAAAGGGAAGCAGAAAAGAAAAGGGAGCGGGACCAAACAAAAAAATTCCACGCGCCCCTGCTTAACAAAGTTTAAGCTCGCGCTTATCTGCGGCTTTATCTAGAGTTAAGTTTATGTAATGCAGCGAGACTCCGCAACGTCGAGCGTACACCGAGACAACGCCAAAGTTACACGCTTACGAATTAATTACACGTCGTAGTTGTAAAAAAAGAGAAACTTTACTTACGAACTAGCCACTCTGCTTTAAAGCCCGACGGTGGTGAGATGTTGACTACCTCGCCTAGTATACAAGAGGCCGTGGGGGGGTTCGATCCCAACCCAGACATATTTGGAATTTGCATGTCTCTCCCCGTAGTCGAGTAGAATTTTCTCCAGGTCCTCCAGTTCTTTCCTCCACATTAAGAGTATTTGCCTGCTCTAAATTTCCATATAAGCCACTTCGTTGAGCTATCATGTGTGGCCAGGTCGCTTCTGAAAAAGAGCTGTATAGCTCGGTGGGCCTTACCTGGTAAAATAAAAATAGCTGAGTAGATAGCAATTGATATCCCCTCCACCCTTCTGCCTCTTAAAAAAAAAAAACACGTAACTCGGCCACTGATAAGGAATCTGCCGCACAATCCTGCAGGAAACCCAAAGCGAATGCACCCACAAACAGCACGGCCTGCGATATTCCAACCATCACAGAGGCGCTGCGTGCGCTCGTGGTGGCGTGGCATCGCGTGGGCCCAATTGCCTGCAAAGGCCTCCAAAGCAAAATGACGGCGGTGACGAGAGGCACGGACAGATGGGCGTCAAGAGGACAGCGTTGCGTGGAAACGTGTGGGGATGCAGCTGGCCCAACACAAAAGGGCAGCGGAGTTTTGAATGAGCGTCGCGTATAGTTCGAAAATGCAAGAACCCAGGGCTCTCGACTTGTGCTTCCGACTACAGGGCTGGGGTTGCACACTCCACACTTCAGCAGCTGTTTCCACCAAGTGCATTTCACGTACAGACTGCGGGGGTTAATCCACCACTGGAGAGTGCGTGGATTATTTGACGAGAATTCACCAAGCATGGCCGGTGCAGGTTCCAGTGTAAAATCACAAATCGACAAAATTTCAAGCACTCATGTCGTTGGGTACCTTCGGTCACATGGGGACAGTCTATATTCATAATTTCAAAGTAAAATGATGTTCTACTCAATGTAGCACCGCACGCAAGCACTCGCCTCCATTGGCAGCCCTGAGCAAACGGTGGAAATTCCACGTAACTATGGCAGGAGGAAAACTCATTTGAGGACAACAAACGCTGCTGACTTCCCGCAAAACGACGCTCGTTATCGCCTCTGGGGGAAATGACGAGCCGAGTCGATCCCCCCAACCCGGGATTTAAACGTGAACCCACAGCGCCACCCCAGGCAGACTGGAGGACAACTACTCGTACGATGAAATTCCCAAGCGGCTGTGGCAAACGAATCCGGCGACCGCCAACCGTTTCGACGGTGAGAGCGCGCCAACCACCGGGACAGGCGGCCTTGCCCGCCCGCCCGCCCAATAACCACGACGGAAAGCAAACGGAACGCAACATCCGACAAAAACGCCGCCGTGTTTCGAGGCCTGTTTACGTGACACGCAGCAGCCATGAGAAAACCCCCTTCCGCTTGAGACACCTTTCATGCCAACCTTTCACCTGCTACTTACGCCGTGCGCACCGTCGTCTCAATCTGCCTCCGCATCTCGCCCGCCAGGTGCATCGGCGCCCGCAGAAAGCCGTGTTTTGCATAAGCCCTGTGCAAACAGCCACTACCTGCTGCTGCTGCTGCTGCACGATTTCTGTAAATGATGCGGCGGTAAGAATAAAAACAACAAGACGCTGTCTCTGTACCACCTCGTAAGTGGAATTGGTTGTTCCCTAACCAGTGCTTCTGAATAACCTTCCTATTACTGATGCGCACACAGCAAAGACCAGACATACATCTCATGGAGCAAATATAAACTGTCGGGGGCAATTGCTGTTAGCGAGTACCTCTTAAGCACAACACGAGGAGGTGGTGTGAACAGCACCACGCCAAGCTGCCTTCGTCTCCCTAGCACTAGTGTTTAAACATTAGACCGGGTATTCGTTTAAAAGCTTTAGCTACTTAGGGGGGATGCCCAGGCCCAGTTCAGATGATCAAAACTCATGATAGCGATGGCCATGATCGAAGGCCAATGGACAAACCAATAAAGCACCTATCCCAAGTAGGGAAAAAAACACACAAAGGCACACCCAAAAAAGCACACAGAGACATACATACACAAAGACACCCATAACAAAGACAAAGACCTCCCCTTTAGCCTTAACAGGCTTTTGGGGCAAGTGCTGTTAGCGAGCCCAATGAAGGCAAGCACAGGACACACGAGGAAGTGGAAATTTTAGGACCGGTTCAGATAATCATCACTGGTGTTGGCGGGAATCAAACTCGGGCCGGCTGGGTTCGTAGCGCAGGACCACTTGCCACGCAGACACACAGAGTCACACGCCCATGCACACAAGCACGGAGACGCACCCATGTAGACACAGCAATTGCCACAACAGTCTGTATTGGCGAATTCACTAATTTGGTGATGCTCTTGATGGCAGTGGTTGCACAAGCACAATTACACACACAAAAAAACCTCACATTCGTCAATAGCATCATGTGCTACGAAGGGCCATTTCCTGGAACGTTATCTATTGTATACTTTTTTTTTCTTTCAAGGCAATGTTATTGATGAATGCGTCGAGTTTTTTTGTTCGTTATAGTGGCTGATGGGCGCTCACTAACAGCTTCCCCAACAGTCTCTATTGGCCGATAGGTGCTCGCACACAAACAAATGCCCCAACGATCTATATCCACTGACAGGCACTCGCAAACAATCACCCCACAAGTCTCTAATTGGCTGATAGGCGCTCGCTAACAAACAATCGCCCCAACAGTCTCAATTGGCACCGGGGCACACGCTCCCCCGTGGGGTGCGTGCGTGGTGCCCCGTGTAGCCCCACGCTGGGCCCACCCTCCGCCTCGACGCCCACCTGTAGTTGCCCTTCTTGGTGAGGAGCTCCTTGAATTGGCCGAGCGAGAGGACGCGCCCCTTCACCGTGGTGCGGTAGGGGATGGGCTCTCCGCAGAAGTAGTACGCCACCACGATGCTGCTGCCGCCGGTGCCGCCGGTGCCGCCGCCGCCGCCCTCCGGCGCCGTGCACGCCGACCCCGCGGCCTTCTTCACCGGCTTGCGGCTGTGGCGCACAGAGGGAACGGACACCCGAGAAGGAGATGTTAACGCTTTGCCTCGTGGTTGCACGCACACCTGTAGCATCGTTGGGTCGGAGTGTAATCAGCTGCTGTAAGGGTGCGATTTGTTGGCTCCCGCGCCACTGCTGGCCGAAAGGGCCTCTATTAGAAGAAGCTCTCGAGAGACAGCCTCTCCAGGGGGCATCTTGGCCTACTCTTCCATGTTGGTCAGACATCCTGAGAGAAACGTAGGAAATACCCACACACTATTCCGCTACGAGCGACCTGCCAAGTAACTGTCCACCCAGCAGTGTGGCCGAGTACATCAGTGGCAGCAGGGCCACGTGGCTGGTTTAAGGGACGTCATTTCAATGGCCTGTGAGCATAATGGTGCTCAAGTAAACATAGGGTGCATCATCTCTCTGCCGACTAAATGTTGGACAGCAAACAGACTCGGGTCAACGGATTTGCGGCGTACTGCGCTGAGTACCGCACCATCGATGCTTTGAAGAACGAGGCGTAACCGAATTTTCAATTTAGTGGCGGGAAATTTTCAAACGCGAGATCATGCGTATGATCCCACAACACATAAACAATTCAAAAGGGTAAGATTTGCGTTCACATACATGGCGTAAAACCAAAACCCGCTGGGATTGCGCAAAAACAGTCACTGCAAAATGTCAAATATTAACAGAAACATATTATCCAAATAAACATGGATTGCACCCGGGAGAGCACACCTGTGGGAGTAAACACGGTAATATTGGGTGCAGACATGACACGGCTAAATGCACCGCGTTTAATCTGCAAGTGGGTGCAATGAAGGTCAAGGCACTTAACAAAAGCGGCATTGTTTGTCAGCTGTTTATGCGGTAAACAGGACCCCCCCCTTGCCTTTCAAAGGCTCTCCGAAATGTCAACAGCGGAGCCCGCAGTGCACAATGAAAGGCAGGATATTAAACAAAACTTGAAAGGAAGGCTGGCAGATTAAAAAAAGGGTGCCAAAAAGCGCGTGTGGACTGAATCACTGAATTAAACGAGTCGTACTTCAAACGTGGTTCCAAAGGGTATCCTTTCACCACCAAATCATTTCATTTTCGGGCGGAGACTAAGTGTCTTTTTGTGTGCGTGCACGTGTCTGTCTGTGTGTGTGTGTGTGCACGCACATCGAGCCGGCCAGCCTCTATAAGCGGGGTGAAGAGAGAACAAGCGATATAAGATCGTGAACCTACAAAGCGCTTTCGGCGCGACCTGCGAACCCTTCAAAGGACCACGGCCGTGGGTATAATGTACAGCCAATTACCGCGGGGTCCCAGCAGGGCATCAAACGCTCGCATCAAAAACGACGCGTTCAATCACTCGTCCGACTGCCGACTGATGTCTGCATTGACCGCTTTGCCAAAGTGGAGCGGCGGATAAGACATCTCCCTCGCTGTCGTAGCTCCTTTGAATGGAATCTTAATGACCAGGCTCGTCGATAATAAACCTTGGAAATGGAGCAATGAATAGTAATTGTAATGGCAAGGATTATTTGTTGGCCGTAGGATTTGTAGCATAAATGTTGTCACCGGGAACAACACACATTTTTCTTTGTATATATTTTTGAAAGCACTTTGATGATTAAAGTAAAAGGAAACTGACATTTTTTTTTTACTTACCATATTTTCTTTGAGAATATTCACTTGCCAGCATGGCAGGACAGGAAGGGCCAAAATTTTGAAGGACAAGTGAGATGATTTTTTATTTTGTTTTAAAGTCCCATACCTCTTGAGCACATCTAAGGCCAAGATAAAACACATTGTGTATATATATATCACATTATTTTAAATAGTCAGGACATCACATGCCTTTCTCTGTAGGCTTTAAAGGATGGCATGAACATCAAAACGTGGCAGAGGGCAGACGAATCTTTTTATTGTGTGTGTGTGTGTTTTTTACAGGGACCTCAGAGGCAAGAGATGGGATGTAGAACTCCAACACACCAATGGAGAAAAATGAGTGGATCAAGATCGAGGACTTATTTGGACGTGCAAACAAAGAAAGGGCCACAAACCCAAACAGGGTTGACCCCAAGTTGTCTGAACAATGAAAAAAAAATTTACGTAAAAAATTACAATTCAAGATTTGCGGCTGGACAGCACCGTGACGGGACAACGGGACTCGACGCCAGGCTCCAGACTTCGTGGGTCGACTAGGCCCATCACACATTCACGGTGGATAAAGCCGCCCTCCACTTCGTGGGAAGTCCAACAGCGGCCCGTCCTACGAAGAGACCTCGTCGTGAGAAGGTGGAAAGATTTCCACCTCTGGCCCGGCATTCAGCACGAGCGCGGCCCGTCGTCCCGCGCTCGTCCGAGCACCGAGACGCAAACTTTGGACGCGTTTTTATTTTTGACCTCGCGACGGGGTTGATCCGCAAACCCCTGCCCGTCAAGGCCACCACCGGCGCAGCAGCTGCATTAAGGGGGACGTCTCTGTGTAAACAAACACGGCGGTTGCCTTTACGCGCGCGCGCGAGAGAGAGAGAGAGAGAGCCACCCGCGTCCTGGGGGCGGCGGCGGCGGCGGCGTTTTCAGCGGGCGACGGGAAATATCGCCTTCAAGCAAAACTCGGCGATGCGGGTCGCGGAAAGAACTTCCGCGGCAAAAGAAAAAAAGCCCACTCGGTTCCTCCCACTGCCGAGGTAGCGCCTTCCCGCTGCCTTCCACGTGTTTTCGGGTCGTACCGCGCTCTGTTTCGGCGTGCCTGCCGTATCGCTCCACGCGCTGGGGGCTTATTTAGGGACTGATGATTTGAGCTCTCCCGACGCGTGTGAGCGTGCGCCCGAATCAAAGCGCCTGCGCGAACATTTGACTGCAAAATCGGACGTCGAAATGACGGCGACAAGTCGTAGCCCGATCACTTATAAACCAAGCAAACGTTGCGCGAGGTCACGGGAACATCACACCTATCCTAGTAGCCTCACCTCGGGGTCAAGTACGTAAGAGGTAGCATCACGCCTAATGACGTAGGATGTCAGCCGTGATTTAGCAGACATCGTGTGCGATCTCAAGTGGGGGATATCGAGGAGATTAAAAAAATGTGACGCAGTATTACGACCGGCTTGGTTCTTCGGAAATTTTACCGGCAGCGAAACCGCGTGCTCCACTCGCACTTAACATTTCTGTTCCGAGTTATGCTACGCTAACCAACCGCTGGCTTCAGAGCGGCGGTTGATGATAGGCCAACTTTGGGAAAAAAAGCACTCTTAATTACTGCATAAGCAGTGTATCTTTGTCAGCACCTGATAGGTCTTGGCACTCTTACATTGAGCACTGTGGTTGGAGGATGAAGAAACCACTCTGGATTCAACAAGGCAGTACTGACGGGCATAACAATGGCCATATATATAAATATTATAACAGATTTGCAGCACTTTTGCTCTGCACCAAGCGTGAACTACTTACAAATTATGATCGTATCTTGGGCCCCACTGACAAATTGACAGCAAAGATTGTGACGTTCACGAAGACGCCAAATGGCCACATCGGCGATGGCGATCGTGGACGACGAAGGTGCGTGCCCTCGGTGCTCATGACTACGTACTCTTGCGGGGGCTGCGAGAGGTCCATGTCCGAGACGGCGGGCACCATGCCAGGCACGGGAACAGCGCCCGGCCGCCCCATGCTCCTGCCGCGCTGCATCACTTCCTGCGCGTACCTGCAGGGCAGCACGTGCGCCAGCCGTCAGCCTCGGAGCGAGCGGCAATCGCCCGGCAAGTGTCAGTGGGGGGATGGTGACCCACGAGACTGGCTCGTATTTTTAAAGTACCCTTTGAGCTAAAGAGCTCTTTGATTTGGGTTTCATCAACAAAAAGCGTCGGTATCCCTGGCAAACGCAACGCACATAACAGGTCGGAAGAGAAATAGAAATACAAAATTAAGAAAAAAATTGGCAACAAATCACGTATTGTCGAGCATATCGCAACTTGCCGGGAAGGCAGCACGCAAGTGGGCACAGGGTTCCACGCAGGTCGCTCCGAGCAGCCCTGGCACGCGTTTCGGGTTTGCAATGCCGCGACGGACGACGTTTCGGTTCCTCAAGAAGGCGTGTGTGTACACGTGGCGAAACTTCTTTAACACTGTACGTGGACCAACCGCGCCAAACGTGGGACGTCACGCCGAACAACGCAGTGTACAACCGGAAGAACACATCGGAGAGCCGCGCGCGAGTGCGTGCCGCGTTTCCGTACGGGTGTGCGATGGGAGTATGCGTGCGGTTTGTGCTCGCGACAGCATCCGAGTGCTTCCGCGATTGTGTCAGCAGACGTCCGTGTGTGTGTTTGTGTACGGGAGTGCATTATTACCAATATTTAAGAAATGTCAGGATGCAAAACAAACAACAACATCCTGGAAATATTGTTACAAAGCATGATCGGAGAACAGCCCCGGAAGATGACACCAGCGGACCACTCCTGGAGTCGATTCAATACAAACTCGACGGGGGCTCCTTCTGGCCACGTGGCAGTCTTCCAACATTTAGTTTTTAATCAGATTTAGCCTCAAGGGCTGATCCAAGCAGAATTAATTGAACAACATGTATTATTTTTTGTGTGCAGGCTAAGCAGCTAATTGGTTGCTTTGTTAAGAGGCAGGTCTATTGCTAAAGGCTGGTCGCCCAGCTGGTTGTTAAGGTTATGGGAAGTACTCGTGCCAGTAACTGATTTGGTTTAGAGTTAAGTGTCAGCAGGAAGGGTAGCAGTACAGGCTGCTTGCAAAGTTGGTCACTGGGATGGAACGGTACTAAAGGCTGGTCTGCTCAAGTGGGTTAGGGTAAGGATAGTATTTACCGGCAGCCACAAATAAAGAAATAAATATTGCGAGAGCCGCAATGCATGCGGTGAATACGAGACGCGGTGCGTGTCCTTGATAAATAACGTCACGAAGAAGTTCCCTAAAGGGCCACACGTGGTTCCATAGACGCAGGTTGCCGACCGCTGCGCTAGGGGGCTCGTCGGCTAATTTTCTTTGAATTACGAGCGGGGCCAGCGTTCGGTTGGCCGGAACGTGCTAGCGCCACGCCGCGCCTCCCCCAACCACCACCCCCCCCCCCTCCTCCTCCCACATCGCTCGCCGCCACCCCTCCTCCCCCACCACCACCACCACCACAACACCACCAACACACGACCTTCCCCCACCGACAGCTTCAGCCACTCTCCGTTTTCCCGGCCGCCCCCCGTGGATGATGAAGATAACGGACCGCCCACCTCTGCTTGCCGGCATGTGTGCGCCCAGCGCGCCACTCCTCTTCCAGGCGCCGCTTGGCCTCCTCGAGCTGCACGGTGGTGTTGGGCGCTGGCAGAGGCGGCATGGCCGGGTCCTGCAGGAACGGGTGGGAGGGTTGCACGGCACGGCGCGCGTAGGGGGGGCCAGTGCCGTGACCGCCGGCGGCGCCGGCGCTGCCGGCGGCACCGCCGCCGCCGCAGCCGCCGCCACCCCACACGCGCTCCGACGAGCTCCCCCGTGACGTGTCGCACACAGGGGCCTTCTTCCCCACGACGACACTGCCCAGAGAAAGACGGGCGGGCGTGCGGTAGACCCCGGGGGCAGCGAGAGAAGGAAACAAAAACACGAGTAAATTAAGAGCGTTCGAATGTAGATCTTCTCCACCCCTATTTGTCCCAGCCCGCTCTCTCTCCACCACATGGACTCTGCCCTCCTCCTTTGCTGCCACGACCCGCCGCTCGACCAGTGATGGCCGCTCTTTTAGCCACTACCCCTCCACCCAGAACCCTCTGGAAATTCATTCCCAGGCAACTCGACCTGGTCCCCCTGTATCTGTGCTTTCGCCTGTCTCCTAAAAACCTTCCTTGGCAACCGTGATTTTGCATCTCCCTACTTGCTTCCTCTCTCTTCCTTTCCTTCCCTGCGCTCCGGCACATCTGTAAGTTTGTATCCATGTCGAACTTCTTTCGCACCGTACAAGGCTAACCGTGTTAATCGGAGGTGAGGGAGAAAGGCCAGCAAACTAAACACAAAAAGCAGAAATAATTTTTTTTTTATCTAGATTTAAAAGTTCATAGCTCCCAGTGGCTTCCTAATATCGCAAGGAAGAGCGTTCCAGACGGCCGCAGAAGGGCATCTGAAAGCGCGCGTTTGTTGCATCACGCGGGGGCATCATAAGTGGAAGGTTGGTGTTGCTGTCGTCTTTATTTTATCGAGGGCAAGTTGTGCGAGTCTCAAGCGGGCCGTGCTACCGCGGGGCTGACGTGGATGCACGGAGGCCTCGCGTGTGTACCTGTGCGGGGACTTGTGGTGTTTGCCACTCTCCCTTTCGCCCTCCATCATCCACTTCCAGATGAGCCGAGCACGGTCAGCCTCTTCCGCCGGAATGCCTTTGCCACTGCAGCACGGACGAGCGATTGCATTAACAGTGTCGTCGTCGTCGTCATCATTATCGCCATTGAATTAAGTCTCTGCTCATCATCATCATCATCACTGTTACCATCATCATCGTTGCATCTACCTGCCGCTTTCTGTTAATTAATCCTTTCTGTACATCATCGCCATTGTGAACATAATTATGGTCATTATCACCGTGTCTTATCTGCAAGCGGTATAGTATTAACGGTCTCTGGTCATGTGCATCAGCAATTCATTGCTACCTTTCGTTCAAGACGCTCTAAGTGTAGTCCAGAAACAATAGATGGCTTTGGGTGGACCCGCTTTATATTGAAGAGGCGGCCATGTGGCAACAGGGATTATGATAATCCATGATGAAAACGGCGCACTTTTCACCGCATTTATATTCCTGATTCATTGAGACAACAAATTAATTTGTTGAGCCTCTCTGGAGCCGTGGCTGTCAAATCCAATACAAGATGCATCACTGTCATCATCATCATCATCGTCGTCGTCATCAGACACCAACTTGCCTTCGTGCCAATGGCTGAGCAAGGTTAGACAGCCCAATACGAACATGAGACATCTGCAAAATCCTACTATGGTGGAAGGTAGCTGGTGGCGAAGGTGGCTGATAATGGCCATGCGAGAGGCACTGCTTCAGTAGCTGCGGATTATTTCAGCAGCCCCTGATTAAAATGGGTCGTGAACTGATGGTCTTAACGGTCAGTGGTGGCAATGATGCTTTACTATGAAAGACACCAGCCTATCAACAGGGCAAACCACTGGTGACTTCCCACAAAGCGGTACTTACTTTTACCGACCCACAGAACAGCGACGATAATTGATTATGATGGATGACGATGACAGCTTTTAGCCAACCCCAGACCAGGATTTCAACTCGCGGTCTTCCGACTACGAGTCAAGCACAGCAGCCTCACCCGGGCCAGACGTCGGCGAAACATCGATTCCTCGGGTACGCGTGCCAACCGAACATTTTGCGCGCAAAACCTCGGCGTTCGCAAGCGGCGTACCTGCCGTACGCGTCGGGCCCGCTCGTCCGCACGCCACCGTAGGGTTCCGCGGCGGTGCCGGCAAACGCGTACGGAGGCCTCGGGGGGGCGGCCGCGTCGCCCTCGGGCCCGTGGTGGTGCACGTGGTGATGGTGCACTTGCACGTGCGCCTTGTGACCCGGCCGTCCGCACCCGACCGCGGCCGGCGCCGCGAGAGACGTCGCCGGCGCCAGCTGTCCCTGCAGCGCCAGCTGCTGCTGCTGGTGCTGCTGCTGCTGCGGGCTCAGCGCCGGGAGGAGCGGCGTGCCGAACACGGACTGCAGCCGGGGCACGAGCCGGCGCTCGGGCGAACGGCCCCGGAGCGGCGAGCGCTGGCCGGGCGTGCCCATCACGCGTGACACGTGCTCGTCCAGGATCGACTCGGGGTCGTCCTCGGGGGCGACCGCCGTCACGGCCACCACCGCGTCCGCGCCGCCGCCGCCGCCGCCGCCACCGGCGCGCATGAGCAGCGCGAAGGGGTGCAGCTGGTGCGAGAGCGGAAGCAGCAGCTCGCGACCGCCGCAGCCACCCATCGCCGAGACGTCGGATGTCAGGCTCTCCTCCTCCTGCGCGTGGACAGAGGACGCGCTCAGTGTCAATGGGGAGTGCCGTACATGGGACATTTGAATCCACAAAGATCGCCCCCACCCCCCCCCCCCTCCCCGTATGGCCGTACGGACAAGTGCTGCTATTTAGCGAGTACGTATTAAGGCTGGCTCAGTCAATGAAATGGTGATGCGGCCAGAAGCACGTCGAGCCTTCTGTCTCCCCAGTGCTGATGTTTACGTGACACCAGGTACGAATTTAAGGCCCAGGACCACTAATGTTTGCCGTGGCTGTTACATAACACATTGTACGGATCACTGCATCATCGCTCCCCACATTTACATATACATACCCACACACAGGCACTTCGTGTGTCACTGATTATACAGGGTGTCCCATGAGTCTGGAATCAAAGGGAAAAATAACTAATGCTTATTTTGTTATGTTTCTGCAGGCCCAAGATGTCTCCGCGTAAGGAACAACGAGTCCAGATAATTCTACTCATCGGAAATCGGAGACAGAGGGAGGACGCCGTTGTATTTAACAGGCTGCATCCAGACAGAGAGCCAACAACACAGAGCTGTCTTGGCAAACTTGTTGCAAAGTTTAGGGAAACGGGATCCACACGAGATCAACCACGCAGTGGACCTGATGCGAGGAGTTGTGCATCAGGAACAATGGTGGACACATTGGGCAGGTTCTGTGAATAAAGGCTTCACTATTGCCTTTTCTTGCATGATTTTTCCTACGATTCCAGACTTATGGGACCACCCTGTATATGCAACAATGTTATGGCTGATGCTGTGCATAGAATGCACTGCTCACTCCTAAAAGATCGAAGGCTCAATGAGAAGTTAGGGATTGATTCATGCTCATCATCTCTGCAGTGTCGATAAAATGAGTACCCCCACTGTCCCCAAGTCACCGGCGATCAGTCCGATGGCAACACTGCTCCGCCTCTATGGCAACGTGGAATTTCCACTATTGCCACGGGGGGTTACGACCCGGTCACGAGCGATACGCCAATGGGCTCATTTGCGCTCCGTTATGCTTCGACTTAAATTTCGATTTGAAGCTTTCGTGACCGCAAGGATTCACCTTCTTTGGTTCTTTCGGTAAAGTCACCACCACGTAGAATGAGAATAAAATAATAAAACAACACAATGCAATCCTCACGACGTTTCGGCCACAACGCAAACGGCCGCTTGCGCTGCGGCCCATGAGTCTGGAGGATTTTATCGTGTTATTTTATTTCATTATTTTATTCTCATCCTACGTGGTGACTTTACCGAAAGAACCAAAGAAGATGCTTTGACTTGTTGTACAGACTGCGACGGCATCTCACATTGTGCGCACACGCTGCGCGCGAGACATTACGCCGGTCAACGTGCAGGCCCTCCTAGCGTAGCCCCGCAAGGCTGCTGCTCAGCATCCGGCAGCAGTGGAAATTCGTGCACCAGCAACGGCAGACTCAATTGGATGACCGTAATTGTTCTCGAAACAAACGAGTGCGCATTTTGTTGAACCCCCGGAGGAATGACGGGCAAAGTCAACCACTGGCCAGCGTTTGAAATCGCAACCGCCTGATTATTAAGCACGCTTGGTATTCGCACGCGGAGTTATCAAGAAGGCGCTATGACGACGATGCCTTGTAAGCAGTAAAATATCTCTGCCGAATGTGAAGCGAGTGGATGACTCCTGGCCTCGTTTCACCCAGCTGGTCATTGCTAAAATGACGATCGACAAACGCAACGAACCAAAGTGACCACGATAAGACCCCCGAAAAACAAATAAGCCAAGTTCCGCGATCCTCGCATTGCTATTTACCGCACATCGGCCATGTGCATAATACATTAATCTACAAAAAGCAACCCCCCCCCCCCCAGCCTCTCGCAGTGAATAAATAAAACGGGAGGTGAGTCACGCAGTCCTAGAGGCCAGCGTGGGGCTGGGGTCCCACTCATGTTGACAGGTGCACGCCGAGCGACGGGGCTTTTGAGTTCCCAGAGCCAAGCGCCAGCACGGGCGCCAAGCGCAGCCGCAAACGCACAGCGGGGCGGGCGGCGAAGAGCGGGAAACCACGCCGCTCCTTCTTTTTGTCTCCCGTCCTTTTTTGTGCGTGTTTTTGTTGTTGTTGTTGTTGTTTTCACCTCTCCCGCTCTCCCTCCACGCCCTGCGAGTGCGCGTCCCTCGGACAGGCAACGAGACCGTCTTTAATTATGCAGCGAAAGTTTGTTTCTGGAGCGAGGATCATCTCGCTCGCTCGCTCGCCGCGTCCCTCGACGGGGACGGTCCAATCAAAGCAGGGCTGCAAGGGAGAGGGCGGCGGGGAAGGCTTCGCTTTCAAGGCTCTCGGGGAGTCCGGCACGGCGCACCGTAATCTGCATAAGCCAGCGGGGTAAGGCCGAGACTTCGCCAGTGCGCCGGCGCTCCTCTCAGCCAGGGCCCTTTAAAAACCTATTTAAATGAGCACCCTTCGCTGGGCTTGAGAAGACATATCAAAGGGGCTCCCCCCCCGTTTTCCTTTCTCTCACTCGTTTTTTTTTCTTTAAGTCAGATTCCAACAGGAAAAAGACCATCTGGAAGCATAAAGCAAAAGAATTGTTTTATTATTATTATCATTATTAAAAGGCCATGTAAGATTTTTCCCTCCCCCCCCCCCTACTCCAGCTAATAAAAAAAAATCGCCACATTACGCTTATTAATAAGAATACGGCTCTGAGAATTGTATGACGCTGCCAATACAGCTTAGAAATGGTACAAATGATAACAACAAAACTCCGGACAAGACTAACTTTCAAAATCTTTCATGCTCTCGTGGGCTTTCATTTGCCTACAGTTTACACAAGTGCCTCTTCTCTCTCTCTCAGTTCGGCCTGCAAGGGCACTCTTCTCAAGTGGCTCGCAGCACACGTTCATTGCAAAGAGGCAAAAACGGTGTCTCGCTCGCTAACATTTCAACGCTCAAGTCGTCATATTTACGGCAAAAACATGTGCGGTAACCTAAAAGAGCTCGATGTAACGTTAGGGGAGCCACAAAACTTAACGTTTGCACCGACCCACAATTAAAACACAACGAGGAGCCCCAAGCATCACAACTTAGCGAGCTGTGCACTCCGCTAAAGCCAGACGTGAGCTCGCAATCAGCGGCGGCGCTGCTGCTGGTACCGACGGCCATCAGCAGTTGTGGGCTAGGGAGAGTGCAGCTCCGGATATTTCCGAGCACCTGACAGTTCTGGGGTGGCCGTGGACGGAAGCCCGACTGTGGTAGCAGCAGCGGCAGAGTACCAAACTGGTCCACTCACCGTCCCATTAGGACGTGGATGGGACATCGGTGTCAAGAAACCGCCGCTCTCCGGGCACCCTCATTAAAGTGTGCGCAGTGCTTTTTCGTCCGGAGGGGGAGAGGGATGGGCGGAGAGTTGGGGGGGGAGGATTGGGGCAGGGGGGGGGGGGAGTGGCTGGGGGGCGGGGGCGACTCAAGGTGAGGAGGTGCTCTCACAACGCCGCCGGGTTAAAAACGCGGCCGCCTGGCGGCAGATAAGGCCGAGGATACTTTCCCCCCCCCGCGGATAAACTCTGCCCGGACAATCGTTAAGGCAATCACGGGCGCCCGGAATACGGCCGAGGCTTAGCCGTCCCCAGTGGCTTAAGCGGTGTGCCATGGCGAATGGAGTAAATAAAGCGGGCGCTACAAGCAACGCTCGATGTGTTTTGCCGCAACAAAAAAAAAAAGTGAGCACCCAGGATACTTTTTGGCGACGCGCGTCGCACTCGGGAGCAGGTTCCCGCGTGGTGCACATCGGATTTGTCACGCGAGACGGGAAGTGACGGTGGCATTTATTAACGCTCTTCATAAGCCGGCAAAAAAAAAAAATTCCGCACATTTCGCTGTGAATAACGGGCTCGTTTGCAAAGACGAAAATAGAGTTTATATTTCGCGCGCGCGCACACACACACACACACACACGTGCGCATACAAAAATAAAACCCCTCCACATTGTGAAAACTGTCAACACCAAACATAAGTACATAAGTACAACTTTCCCGACAGCCAATTAAAGAAGTGCCAGTCGGGCTGGCATTCAATTCCCACGGCGGCTCGCGCAGCTGCGAAGAAGGACACGGCCACCGCATGGGGGGACGAGTCGTCTCGTCGTGACGGCCGGGAGAAGCCGCGCACACACACGCACACACGCACACACACGCGCGTGTGCGTGCGTGACACCGCTCGTCACACCGTGGCGCAGCAGACCCTCACCTCGCGCAGCCTCTGGAGCCGCTCCTCCAGGCCCTCCTGGGCGTCGCGCTCCCGCTTCACCAGCTCGAGGCGCGAGATCAGGTCGGCCGCAAACTTCTTCGGATCCACGGGTCCCATCTCCTTGGGCAGGCGACTCGTCCTCTGGCGGTGCATGCGGTGGAGGGGGAGGAAATAAGATAAAGACTGCGTTAAACGCCGGCATCAAACAAAGCCGCCGCCGTCGTCCTCGTCGTCTCCTCAGGGGGTTATAAATTGAAGAAGGAGAAGGAGAAGAAGAAGAAGACGAAGAAGACGAAGAAGAAGACGAAGAAGACGAAGAAGAAGAAGACCAAGAAGAAGACGAAGAAGAAGAAGAAGACGAAGAAGAAGAAGAAGAATAACAATGATCATAACGAATTAAAAAAACGATCGCGGGCACCAAACGACGAACCAATCGTCGACCTGCGGAGCATCCGTGTTCTCGCGTTCGTTTTCGAGCGACAGGTGCCGTTCACAAAGGCTCGCGGGGCCGCGGTGGCTGTGATGGCGGCGAGGAACCGGTTTCCGTCAGGCACCCACAGGGGAAGGAGGAGGAGGAGGAATCGCGAGCGGCGTGCTGCAATCGGCGCTTCCCCCGGCCACGCTTCTCGCTCGCCGGGGGAAGCGAGATTGAGACGCGCCTCGCAAAGCTTTCGCGTTTTTAATAGAGGCATAAATAAATAAAATAAACTGCGCGCGTAACCGGCACCAAAGTCGGTGGCAAGCTGTTCTCGTGCTCAGTATTTCCGAGCTCCCCGAGGTGAATCTACATTTGCTTGGGAAATGCAAACCAGTAAAAGGGAGCCGACCGCCCCGCTGGCTCTCATCTTTAGCGAGAGAGACGAAGGGATGAAGGTAGAAAGGAATTGGTAAACTACGCCACACGCCACACGAGCCCTGGGGGACATTCAAACGCGCGCAAAAAACCGCGTGAGTCGCACCGCCATAATAAGGGAGCCACCAGCAGAGCCGGCGCTCCGCCTGGGCAAAGCGCCGCCTTTTAAACGCGGACACCGCTCCTGGTGGTGGAATTAGATGAACTGCGCTTGAAAATGATTACTTCTACAAAAACCCCCCCCCCCACCACAAACAAACACCGGCACGGTAAATGATTCGCCGCTTTAATACAACGCGAATAAATATGCATGAGAAAGTTGCTTTTTTATTAGTTTTTGTCTCTTCCCCCACCCCCTGCTCATTAAGTTATTATCAAGCTACCTGCTGAAGATGTTAGGCGTACAGAAGTGTGCCCTCTGGCAAAAAAAAAAAAACACTTATCATAGTTCTCTAAAAAGTTCCTGCCCGGTGCCATGCAAGGAATTTACCCATTTCATAAGTTACCGCTCTCACTGATGAGGCTGCTGCATGAAAACTAAAAGAAACAAAAAAAAACCGAACCAAAAATTTCACCGGGCTCTCACCTGGCTCTACGTGATGTTAATTCACAAAAAAATAATCCCAACTAAATCCCCATTGTTCTTGAGAGGCTACGTCTGGAAGATTCACGCGATGGGTAACGGACCGCGCTGAGCTCGCTCGGTTGCTCTGCGCTTGTGAGCGAGCGGATGAGCGCACGGACGACGATCCTCCCTGGATGTCCCACGGACAGCGGACACCCTTGGATGACCCCCCTCCCTCCCACCCCCTCTCCGACCCCCGCATCCCCCTCCCCCCACTCGACATCCCCCCACCACCCCCGATGATGCACCAGCCGAATCCGACCGACTCTGCTGGGCGCAGCCTCTCCTACTTACAGACGCGGCCGGACACGACAACCCTCTCTGAACTCCCGCGATTTCAAAGCTACCACAGAGAACATCAAACAGACCCAAGGAGACAAACGCGAAAGATGCACGCTTGTGTTTGCGTGCGCACGTGCGTGTGTCTGTGTCCGTGTGTGTGTGTGTATATATATGCAGTGCATGGATATTTTACAGAGTAAACGAGTGTACACTCGAAAAGGTATACGCACACACTGAACCTTAACAGGCACACGTACACAAGCACACTGGCCACTAACAAACCCCACACAAACTTGCATGTCAAATTCACACGTATTACAAACTGCGCCCACCCATAGGTCGTACAAAAGACATCGACCGAACAGAGTTTTGGGGCAAGTGCTGTTTGCGAGCACCTATGAAAGCCGGCATGGTACAAGAGTTGTTTGGTGGCCAGCACCACACCCAACCGCCTTTGTCTCCTTAGTGGCGACGTTTACACACCAGCTACTCATTTTGAGGCTGAGCCAACCTAAGGGAAGCTCAGGACCCATAGGTCGTATGCACACGCACAAGCGCATACAAACGTGATGTGCAAAGCAACAGAGAGACGATTGAGAGGAGGGGTACCCTGGGTATATGACTGAAGGATTCACAGTGATGGAAAAAAGTATTTGATCCCCTGCTGATTTTGTACGTTTGCCCACTGACAAAGAAATGATCAGTCTATAATTTTAATGGTAGGTGTATTTGAACAGTGAGAGACGGAATAACAACAACCCCATCTCAATCAGAAAGATTTCTGGCTCCTAGGTGTCTTTTATACAGGTAACGAGCTGAGATTTGGAGCACACTCTTAAAGGGAGTGCTCCTAATATCAGAAGCAATCAATCAATCAGATTCCAAACTCTCCACCATGGCCAAGACCAAAGAGCTCTCCAAGGATGTCAGGGACAAGATTGTAGACCTACACAAGGCTGGAATGGGCTACAAGACCATTGCCAAGCAGCTTGGTGAGAAGGTGACAACAGTTGGTGCGATTATTCGCAAATGGAAGAAACACAAAAGAACTGCCAATCTCCCTCCGCCTGGGGCTCCATGCAAGATCTCACCTCGTGGAGTTGCAATGATCATGAGAACGGTGAGGAATCAGCCCAGAACTACACGGGAGGATCTTGTCAATGATCTCAAGGCAGCTGGGACCATCGTCACCAAGAAAACAATTGGTAACACACTACGCCGTGAAGGACTGAAATCTTGCAGCACCCGCAAGGTCCCCCTGCTCAAGAAAGCACATATACATGCCCGTCTGAAGTTTGCCAATGAACAACTGAATGATTCAGAGGACAACTGGGTGAAAGTGTTGTGGTCAGATGAGATCAAAATGGAGCTCTTTGGCATCACCTCAACTCGCCGTGTTTGGAGGAGGAGGAATGCTGCCTATGACCCCAAGAACACCATCCCCACCGTCAAACATGGAGGTGGAAACATTATGCTTTGGGGGTGTTTTTCTGCTAAGGGGACAGGACAACTTCACCGCATCAAAGGGACGATGCAGGGGCCATGTACCATCAAATCTTGGGTGAGAACCACCTTCCCTCAGCCAGGGCATTGAAAATGGGTCGTGGATGGGTATTCCAGCATGACAATGACCCAAAACACACGGCCAAGACAACAAAGGAGTGGCTCAAGAAGAAGCACATTAAGGTCCTGGAGTAGCCTAGCCAGTCTCCAGACCTTAATCCCATAGAAAATCTATGGAGGGAGCTGAAGGTTCGAGTTGCCAAACGTCAGCCTCGAAACCTTAATGACTTGGAGAAGATCTGCAAAGAGGAGTGGGACAAAATCCCTCCTGAGATGTGTGCAAACCTGGTGGCCAACTACAAGAAACGTCTGACCTCTGTGATTGCCAACAAGGGTTTTGCCACCAAGTACTAATTCATGTTTTGCATAGGGGTCAAATACTTATTTCCCTCATTAAAATGCAAATCAATTAATAACATTTTTGACATGCGTTTTTCTGGATTTTTGTTGTTGTTATTCTGTCTCTCACTGTTCAAATAAACCTACCATTAAAATTATAGACTGATCATTTCGTTGTCAGTGAGCAAACGTACAAAATCAGCAGGGGATCAAATACTTTTTTCCCCTCACTGTATCTACAAGTGAAATTTATTGCGTGGGTTGCTTCAATTGTTCGTCACGTGTATAAGCCAATACCCTAAAAAGGCCACGAGAAAAATAAAATCCTCGCTGAAGGGCATAAAAATAATATAAAAATAATAGCGGTAGAAAGTTGTTCCACTCATTACGAGGATAAAAATAATGGCCATACGTTTATGGGCTCCCGATTTCATTTAATTTACCGCAGATGACGTTTAATTAGTCCTAATTATCTGTGCAACGTATCACGTTCTGATGGCTTGATCCATGGTGCATCGCTTTCAAGTGCTCTCGCCGACAGAAAAGTGCTACGAAGCAGCCACAAAAGACGAAACGCACCGAGACGAACTAATGACAAAAGCCGAAAAAAAACCCAGAAAAAAACGTAAACATAATACTAATCAAATGCTCAAATTAAAACAAAAAAACTACTCAAAACAAACCCCACAGCGAGCAGGGGTGGGGGTGGGGGGGGACAAATAAAACGGATCAATAAACAACTATGTACATTCATTTATAATAAAAAAAGATATATATACTTTATAAACAGATAATACAAATGTGTGCGCGTGGATGGGGGATGAAGGAGGTGTCGTTTGCAGTGGTTAGTGCACTGCACTACGAAGCCAGAGACGTGAATTCGGTTCCCTGTCGTGGACCAACATCAGTGGCACACTCACATCTGAACGTGCCTTGGTCCCACGGCGCCCAAATTGACAAGCGTGATGAAGTACGGTCAAACAAACCAACCAGGACCGACGATACATGACGGTGCCTTTGCCCGGCAGTGGATTGGCAAAGGGCTGTCAACTATTTTTTTTTTAACATACATATATAATTCCTACGAATAATTAATCACATATTAATTTGAAATTACGATGATGAGGACCGATCGTACGGATTGCGCTAATCACCGTTGAACAAATACACGTCGGGCAGCGGTTCTAATCTCGGGGGGGGGGGGGGGGGGGGGGGGGGGGGGGGGGGGGGGGGGGGGGGTTGGCGTACGTGGCCAATAAGGCAAAGAAAAAAAGGTTACAATCCCACCCCCCCCCCCCCCGGTGGGCTACATGAAGGGGGAGCCATCGCAGCGAGCAAAGGAGGAACAGTGACTGAGCCCCCACAGATCACAGACGGCTGTACGGCGCTTTCTGTGTTAACACAGGGCACCTTATACTTCTGAGCCACCCCGGTGGGTTCAATGCGAGGCATGAGATGACTAAGATAAAACGGCAGGAA